CGCAGGAGTGAGGAGGAGCTGCGCGAGGCACGGCGGTCGCTGCAACAGCAGGGAAGGGAGGGCGAGCGGTGCGCCACGTCACTGGAGGTGTCGCAGGGGCTCTGCGCAGAGCTGCAGCGCCGCTGCGACGAGAAGGCACAGGCGCTCATAGATCAAGCGGCACGCTACGATGCAGTGCTCGCAGCAAAGGAGGCAGCAGCAAGTGCTGCTGCGGCGCAGCTGCAGAACGACCTTGCTGACCACCGCCGCAGGGGTGAGGAGCAGCAGAAGGAGTGGGCACGAGAGCGCGCGGCGGTGGATGCTGAGACGGCGGCACAGCAGGATGAGATAGCGCAGCTGCAGCGCACACTCCACGCGTTTCAGCACGAGATGCAGCAGAAGGACGAGGCACACGCTGCGGAGATGGCGGCGTGCCAACGTCAGCTGCAGACGGAGGTGGTGCAGAACGAGGAGGCGGCGAAGCTTCTGCGCAGTGCGGGTGGCGAGATCACGGAGCTGCGTGAGGCTCTCGCAACAGTGCAGCGGCAGCGCGACGACGGGAACACGCGATGTGAGCGACTCGAGGCCGCCCTTCATGATACGCAGCAGCAGCTGCAGCGCGCCAGCGAGGTGGCGGAGCAGCAGCAGCAACTACTGCGTGCGCGTACGGAGGAGGCTGCACAACAGCAGGAGGAGCTTCGAGCGGCGCTGCTCGCCGAGGAGAGCGCCCAGCGCGACGCGGCGGCGCAGTACCGTGACGAGCAGCAGCGGCGCCGCCGTCTCGAGGATGACATTAGTGCGCTGCGGCAGAGCGTGACGACGTTCCTGCGCGATGAGAGCGACGCGGTGGACTTACGCGAGCCGTCGCGGCTGCCCACGCCTGCAAGAAACGGATACTTCTCCTCCCTTCATGCAGCGGCCGTGAGGGGCGACGCACGGCAGCCTGTCGAAGCGCAAAAAGTGGGCCGCCGCATTCCATCCGTGCGGTCCGCAACGCCGGTGGATGCGCGGCTGGACGCGCAGCAGCAGGACGTCGCGTCGAGGGTGGTGGACGCGGTGGAGGTGCTGCTTTACGCGAGGGACTACGCCCTTCGGCAGCATGAGGACGAGCAAGAACAGCAGCGGCAAGGCTTGGCGTCCACGTCGCCGGGCCGGAGTGCGACGCCTAGCGAGGCGGATCGTGTCATTGCTGCGGAGTGCATTTCAAAGTTGATGGGCGCCGTCGCGGCGCTGAACGCTGTACGGCTGACTGCTGTGTCGCCAACGCCTCGGGTTGCCGCTGTTGGCGCTGCCGCTGCTGCTTCTTCTTCGGCCTCGCATCGTGATGGCAACGCGAGACTCGTGGAACACCTGCAGCAGCACCAGCGCACGCTGAGCTTCGTGCTTAAGGAGGCGCGGGATGCGGCGACAGTGGGTCTGCGGTGCCTTCCAGCCGCCGCTGTTCTCGTGCAGGATCCTCTTATTGAGACGTTGTTGACAACGCTGGTGGAGCGGTTGAGCACGGTGGCAGAGCGGCTGCAGCGCCAGAGCGAGGGGGAGCCGGATTTCCGCATCGCAGAGTCACACAGTCGTGGCGACAACGGCGGTGTACCGGGAGGGTCAGCAGCTTCAGGGGGGAGTCGCATTGCAGCGCTTGCGTCACCGTTCCCTCGCCCACCACGTGCGGAGGATGACGCGGCAGAGGCAGAAGCAGCAGTGGATGGGAGTCCAGCGCGGCGGCTGTACGCGAACGGCGGCAGCAGCGGGAACGCGACGCTGCGTCACACCTTCGGCTTCACCGGTGGGCGGCTAGAGGTGTCGCACGGCGGCACGCGGTTGCAGCGGTTGCTTCTGCCCGGCGTCGTGGACCTCATGGCGTGCTCCGCGCTTGGCGCCCTCGACCACCGCACCTTCCTCGACGCACAGCAAGGCACGGCGTCACCGCCATCATCATCATCATCATTGTCTTCGTCGTGCTTCGCCTTCACAGTGCGCGTGGGCATGCACTGTGAGGGCGTGCTGGTGGGCTTCGCGGACCGCTACCTGCCGCTGGAGGGATTCGGCCCCGCGCAGAACTCGCTGCGCTACACGAGCTGTTACTACCTGCACCTCGGCCGTGGCACGCTGTACTGCCCGGCGCAGGGCATCGTCGACGCGCCGTACCGCGCGTTCCAGCGTGCAGGAGCCTCAGCAGCTGTGCGTGTTGGGGAGGAGGTCACGTGCACGCTTAACACGGCGTCGCAGGTGATACGCTACAGCCGAAACGGCGTCGACTGCGGTGTCGCCTTTGAGCGCGTCAGCCTCACGCGAGCGCTCTTCCCCGCATTCGAGGTGAACTCGCGCGGCTGCACGATAGAGTTTGCCTGAGGGGCCGGTGGGGGGGGGCGCAGGAAGAGCGGCGGCTGGAAGTTCTCGGCAGCGATCGTGCGTACGTGTGTGTCTGCGCGAGGCCACGGGGGAATAGCACACGTGCCGCCGTGCAGGCAAAAGGCGCAGACGACTTCGCGGAGCCGGGGCGTTGACGGGGATGACGGTGTGGTGCATTTTGTACGTTTTCTTTTTTTTACTTTTTTTTTTGTCTGTCTTCTCTCCTTCCGCGTATGTGTGTGTGTACGTGTGTGTGGGGGCCCTTCTCTGCGCCCCGGCCGTGTGCTTCGCGTGCCGCCGCGGGAGGAGCGCCGCGGGAAGGCAAAAACAACAACAACAAACAAACAAACAAATCAAGAGCAACAACAAAAAAAAAGTATGGGGTGGAGGAGCACTATTCCGATAGCAACGCTGCGGCAGCAGCACACCCTCACCGCGGTGCGTGTTGTTGTTATTATTCTCGCAGCGCCTCGCAACAGGATGTGAAAGTGCGAGAGAGGAATACACGAGAGCGACTGGTGG